AAGTACAAATATCAATTTGGCTTTTGTCAAAAAGGAAAACCTAATTTGTTTTAACATATGTTTTTTTGTAATAAATTTGGTAAAATAATTTTTAGTCCTTATAGTTAAACTGTTGTTTGTTTGTTCCGCTTTACATATCAGTATGAGGTTTCATTCTGATTTTTAGTGCCTCGTTTAGTGTCTGATGAAAATATAGTAATACAGTGTAAATGAATGTTTTTCAGGTGGCCGATTACAATTGTTCTCCTGTGCCTTTTAATTTTTTTCTGCCTCATTCTGTTGTGGGGAATCATCCAACATTCTCGCTGCCTGCTTATTTTGTGAGTAGAGAAAGGAAGCTTATTTGAATAATTAGGTTTTAATATAAGTAGATGCTAATCTTTGGCATATTAGTGTGACACATTGTAAATTGTGTATATATATATGTATATTTTGAGATATCACTTTGCTCTTTATTATACATTTATTAAAGTTTTGTGTTTTGTATGTAAATTATCTGTGAAAAATCTTACACACCTTGTTAAAAATACTAAATTAAAAAGTTTTATTTTATTTGTAGTCAAACTTCAAAGCATAAACCAAAACACTTACATAGCTAAAGCAGATTATTTTGACATTTTTGTTATTTCAGTTTTGCTGTGGTGGGGCTTGTGTCAGTGGTCCTGTGCTGGATTCTTGTGTCTCTCTACCTGGGACTGTGTGTTGTAAGTTTGTTGTTCAAATCAGGTAGATTGATCTCTGAAATAATAAAAACCTTTCTTTGCTGAATTTAACTCATTCTGTCAATAAAGCATGCAAATTAAAATTTCTGAATGTCCTCCATACATTTGCAGAATGTGTTACATACTCATAATTAATGTAATTAGCAGAAACGTTGCCCTATGGGTGGCTATTTGTGCTAGTAATTACTAATCATAGTATTCATACCTCATTGAAAAAAATTTAGAAAAAGTGAAGATTTTATAAAAATGGATTTTTTTCTGGGAAGTACTTCATGGGAAAAGTGTTCAGATTGTTCTCTTTAGTCAAACGCAACTCATTGCATCAAAATGATTCAATGTACAGAGCTCAAAATTTTCATAAATTTTACTGATATAAACTATAATGTTTTTATATGTTAAAAGTGGTACTGTTTATTGAAAAAATAATTGTTTCTTAAGAACTCCAGTTTCTCAGTACTACATTTAAAAATGACATCAATAGAGATGTAATCAAACCCTCACGTACATTCCCAGTGAAAGTCATGTTCTTGTTGTGAGGAGAGTACTTTTATTTGAAATTGTGTTATATTACAAAAAAACAGTTGTTGCACATACCACAGTTATTTTTCTAATTGTTTGAATCTTGAATACCAAAAGTGTAAAATTATTTATGGATTTTTGTTTGTGGTGTAATTCGATAGATGGTGCAAGAGTTTTGGTTACGTACATAGATACTGACATACACACTACATCCATTATAGTAAGATGGAAATACCTGAGACAAAAGAAATGAGACCTTCAGAAATGTCATCAGGATTAGGGCTAGCAGACAAATCCAGTTCTGCAGGCTTTGAAGGAAATTAAACCTGAGCAAAAATATCAACCTTCATCCAAAGCAAAAGTTAATGCAGAATGTTATGCAAATTAAGCATAGACACGATCACTATACTTACTAGGGATATTAGAATGCTATAGGCCAATTGCATAAGTAGTAGAAGTTATAGAAATTTCAATAATGGCAGAAATAGCTACTTCAGAAAGAATGTTATTGCAAATTGAACAGCACGATTGTCAATAAGAGAATCAAAGTAATGGCAGGAAAGCAGAGCTCATGTAAGATCCCCTGATGTTTGTACAAGTCACATGGAAACAAAGAGTGGAGAATTATGAGTAAGTGATGCATGTTCTGCTGTGCATAAAGGGTATTAGAAAATTTGTAGCCACAATGTTTCGTTGACAAACTCAACAAGGAAAATGTTCAGTACTTCAGAGGTAAGTACCAGTTTAAAATTAATTTTAATTCTGAAACCTTGAAACTTACCTGTCTTCTTTTAATGCTTAAAATATTTATAATTTCATTTTTAATGCTCTTTTTTGTTGTTCAGAATTTGTTCAATTTTATAAATTTAAGTAGATATTTTTCTTTGGTCAATAGGAGTTACTGTGAATTAATTCTGATATGACATTAATACATAATATTTATTTTCAAGCCTTTGTAGCAAACAATTATCATGTCATTTGTCTTCAGAAACTCATTATTGTTTGTTTAGCAGATGAAATCTATATTAAAGAGATTTCTAGGTTCCTACATATACATATGGATGTTATTGGATAGCTGAGGAGTGATGTGCTGGGTATATTCTTATTCCAATATAAGTGGATTGTGTGTTGGATGTACTGATATTCTAGGATAGGTAGGGGATTGTGTGTTGGGTGTACTTGTGTTCTAGGATAGGTAAGGGGTGATGTGTTGGATGTACTTGTGTTCTAGGATAGGTAGGGGGATTGTGTGTTGGGTGTACTTGTGTTCTAGGATAGATAAGGGGTGATGTGTTGGATGTACTGATATTCTATGATAGGTAGGGGATTGTGTGTTGGATGTACTTGTGTTCTAGGATAGATAAGGGGTGATGTGTTGGGTGTACTTGTGTTCTAGGATAGGTAGGGGGATTGTGTGTTGGGTGTACTTGTGTCCTATGATAGGTAAGGGGTGATGTGTTGGGTGTACTTGTGTTCTAGGATAGGTAGGGAATGATGTATTAGATATAATGATATCCCAGGATAGGTAGGGAATGATGTATTAGATATAATGATATCCCAGGATAGGTAGGGAATGATGTATTAGATATAATTATATCCCAGGATAGGTAGGGAATGATGTATTAGATATAATAATATCCCAGGATAGGTAGGGGATGATTTGTTGGATGTACTTGTGTTCCAGGATAGGTAGGGGATGATGTATTAGATATACTGAGGTTCCAAGATAGGTAGGAGGATGATATGTTGGATGTACTTCTATTTCAGGAAGTTTACAATACTTAGAAACAGACTATAGATCTGACATTTTGTTTATAGTTTCTGTTGATGTTCTGTTTGTTCTAGAAGATGTTTTCATGTTAGATTAATATAGTTTTAAAGGCTGAAGTTACATTCTCATCTGTCAAGACATCAGATTAGGTATGATTGGCAAATAAGGTAAATACAGTGGAACCTCGCTATAACACAGAAGTCAGGATCCATATCATTGGACATTGTTATAAGTGAGGTGCGTTATAATGATGTCCTGTGAAACTGCTACATAACATGGGTTCACAACATGTTCATTCACATCCCATTCAGCCAATAAATGGCAGAAACCATGAATTTTGTATGATTTTCTCTTCTTGGAATTGATGTTAGTAGCAAACATGATGATGTTAAAATCATACAAGTGCTGATGTTTTGCAGTTTTTTGGGTGCCTTATTTATAGGGGGCCAAGCGGCAGTCAATTAGAAAACTAAGTTTCATTGGTTAATTCAATTAATTAGGATGGGGAAATGTCACTGGTCAGTTACTAACTTGGATACTCAAAAATCTCAGTTAAACACTTAATTCATACTGATTAATTAATTTTTAGCAAGGCCTGGATTTTTGTGGTTTGTAAGAATTCCATGTTGTAGTGACACGTACATGTTGAATTCCTTCACTGTCTAGTCCAGAGGAACACATAAAAATTGTTGTCAATGGTTTCAGATGGTAATAACTGTACGGATTTGAGTATTAGTAATGTCAGATCATAAAGTTTCTGCTATCCAACATACTTCTGTAGGAAATGAAGATTTTTACAGCAGTAAAATGAAAGGTACAAAGTTTAGAGATATGGTAACAATAGAATAATACCCCCTTGCTGTTATTCACTCAAGTAAATTAATTCATAGCATGAAAGACAGTGGCAACTTTGTGTTAGAAGTATAAAGATTTCAGTTCACAACCAAGCTAAACTCATTACTGATCTTCTTTATCTTTAGGCTGTCTCTGACTTCTGTGTGGATCCAGAACCCTTCTTGTATAAGCAAGCACAATCAAGTATCAATACCAGTAAGATGATCATTCATTTCTGGAAAGTAGTACTAATGTAAAGAAAACTATTTCTCTTGATTGATAGATTTCTTTATTTATCTTTTTTACTTCCTTAATACACATATTTTTTAAACTAAAGTTTTTTGGCAGATGTTAGATTAGACCTACAGTTTGCTCTATTCTGCCGAAAGTATCTGAACATATCATCATAGAGTAATGACTGTTAATATAACTTCTGGTCTGTAACTTTGAACAATTGTGTCATTTGCTGGTTGGTAATGACTAGAAGGATGAGATGTTGTTCCTTCCAGATGCTACCAAAGAATTTCTATATAATTAAGGTACAAGTGTTTGTGTTTCGACACATTCTCTTATACATTCATTTTTGAGATATCCTGCATTTAAAATATTTCTAGGAGTATAAAACAGCTAAAAATAGAATAAAACATGACACATTTGGTCCCAGCTAATGAACATTCTCAAATGGAACATTGTGGCATATTTTTATTCTGTTTTAATCCACATTTTAGGTGTTTTATAAATACATTTTCCTGCTTTCTGTGATACTTCCATGGCTCCTGAATGTAATCATGTAAATCTTTTGACATCTGTAACATTTTAAACAAGCAGGCACTTTGTAGATTATACACTATACAGGATACAGCCCATGCTACTAACTATTCACTACAGTTTGCTTGGTTGAATCATTAAACTACTGAAGTTTGTCCAACACTTCAAAACTGGGCAGATGACTCTCGTTCCTTTGTGAAAGTCACAACCAGCCATTAAGATTTGAATTAAGCAAAGTGATGCTGAGCAAAGTCTTATTTTTTCTCAGTCTATCCAACTCATACACATTCATGGAGAACACCCTCTTTAGGCCTCATAGATGGTGTCTATTCTCATGTGGCTACATTGAATGTAGTAAAGCATTGTTAATTTGTTCTAAAGATGAATTTAAAAATTTTTTCACAATTCCAGAAATTGTGTTTTGGCATCACTTTAGGCTAGATTGACTTTTCTTAGATGTTGATGCATATTAAAATAAACCAAACATTGCAATTATTTCAGCTAAAGTTATTCTACACACGTTGTAAGTCTTACAATATTTTCTGTTTCTCTTATATTCATTTAGTGTTTTGTCATCTTTCACAGCTGTAAACATTACTAAAATATCTATTAAGTGTATGTCTTTATTTAAAATATTGAGATATTTTCTAGAGCATGTTGAGTGGGACATGTCAAGTGTTCAAGTGATGTCCAAGTACTTTGTAGAGCATGTTGAGTGGGACATGTAAAGTGTTCAAGTGGTGTCCAAGTACTTTGTAGAGCATGTTGAGTGGGACATGTCAAGTGTTCAAGTGGTGTCCAAGTACTTTGTAGAGCATGTTGAGTGGGACATGTCAAGTGTTCAAGTGGTGTCCAAGTACTTTGTAGAGCATGCTGAGTGGGACACGTCAAGTGGTGAATGAGTGTTTGGGTATTTTATAGGGCATGCTGAGTGGAACATGTCAAGTGGTGAAGGGGTGTTTGGGTATTTTATAGGGCATGCTTAATGATCGGCCCTCTCAAGTGTTCGAGAAATGTTCAGATATTTTGTAGAGCATGCTGAGTGGGACATGTCAAGTGGTGAATGAGTGTTTGGGTATTTTATAGGGCATGCTTAATGATCGGCCCTCTCAAGTGTTCGAGGAATGTTCAGATATTTTGTAGAGCATGCTGAGTGGGATGTGTTGAATGTTGATCGGGTGTTCAGATACTTTGTTTAAATACCTTTGGCTGGGTATTGTATATTAAACAACTGATATAAGGAAAGTATATTTTTATCACTATAAATGGTATTATGTCTGTTTTACAAATTGATAATTTATTGTTTTTTTTATTTCATAGAAACATTTTCTCTAAATAGGTTGTGATTATAAAAATGAAAACTATTCTGTGTTGAAAAAATTGATAATACTATAACTAAGCTAATTTTTGATGAGAAGGCATAATTATCAAATCTTGTAGGCTTAGAACTTCAACTTAGATGGTTGGTAATGGCAAAGCTTATTATTCAAATCTTATAGGTTTAGAACTTTAGCAGAGTTGGTTGTTAATGATAAAGTTTAATTAGCAAATCTTGCAGGTTTAGAACTTTAACTTAGATGGTTGTTAATGGCAAAGCTTACTATTCAAATCTTGTAGGTTTAGAACTTTAGCAGAGCTGGTTGTTGATAACAAAGCTTAATATTCAAATCTTTTAGGTTTAGAACTTTAGCAGAGCTGGTTGTTGATAACAAAGCTTACTATTCAAATCTTTTAGGTTTAGAACTTTAACTGAGAGTATTGGTAATGGCAAAGATTAATTAGCAAATCTTGTAGATTTAGAACTTTAACTTAAATGGTTGGTAATGACAAAGCTTATTATTCAAATCTTGTAGGTTTAGAACTTTAGCAGAGTTGGTTGTTAATGATAAAGTTTAATTAGCAAATCTTGTAGGTTTAGAACTTTAGCAGAGTTGGTTGTTAATGATAAAGTTTAATTAGCAAATCTTGTAGATTTAGAACTTTAACTGAGAGTATTGGTAATGGCAAAAATTAATTAGCAAATCTTGTAGATTTAGAACTTTAACTTAAATGGTTGGTAATGGCAAAGCTTACTATTCAAATCTTGTAGGTTTAGAACTTTAGCAGAGGTGGTTGTTAATGATAAAGTTTAATTAGCAAATCTTGCAGGTTTAGAACTTTAACTTAGATGGTTGTTAATGGCAAAGCTTACTATTCAAACCTTGTAGGTTTAGAACTTTAACTTAGATGGTTGTTAATGGCAAAGCTTAATATTCAAATCTTGTAGGTTTAGAACTTTAACTTAAATGGTTGTTAATGGCAAAGCTTATTATTCAAATCTTGTAGGTTTAGAACTTTAGCAGAGTTGGTTATTAATTGCAAGGCTTAATATTCAATTTTATAGGTTTGAAACTTGAGCTGAGATGTTGTTAATAGTCTTTACAATCTGTATAATTAAAATATATATACATTCCTACACATAGTTCTTATGTTTTGTACATTTATGTTTTTATCTTGGTTTTCCTACAATTTATTATTCTATTTATTACATTGTTTTACTTACTTCTTGTGGAATCTTTATTTGAAACAGATGTATTATCCTACTACCTGCATTGTGATGACTCGGTTGTTAATCCGTTTACTGCTGTAAGTATATATTTTGTAGTACTTCTTTTGTATCTAAAGAATTAGTTTGCTAAGTTTAATGTTTCCTGTTCTGAATGAAGTGTTAAAAAATCAGAGTAATCTTGTTGATGTTTTACCACATTTTCCAGAAGAAAAAAAGCCTTGTTTTTCTTGAAATGTTTAAATTTATTTGGAAACAAATCAAAAGTAATTCACTGTAGTTACTTAATTTACCATAATCAAGACACACAGTACTGTGTTATGCAGCCAAAACAACCTGCAGGACACATTGTGTGTTGTTATCAGCAGTGATAGTTTAGAAATTTTCCACTTTCTGTAGCTCGGCCTGTGGTAATCCAAACTATCACATATTTTCAGTGTATGTGCTTTACTGGACCCTTATTTCACATACAAATTTCAAGGCAATCCTTTCTGAAATACATAAAATATAAAATTTCCAATTTTGATTGAAATTCTTCCTTTTTTTTTACTTCACACCAAAAGTGAGGAAACTTTATTTGATAGAAAATCATACTCAACTTTTATCGATTTTTTTCAGATTTGGTACACTGATAGATCTTTACAACCCTTGAGGTGGATTCCTGTACATGGTAAGGGGACCTCCCATGGAAGGTACTTAACTTTTATGGATTTTTTTCAGATTTGGTACATTGATAGATCTTTACAACCCTTGAGGTGGATTCCTGTACATGGTGAGGGGACCTCCCATGGAAGGTACTTAACTTTTATGGATTTTTTTTCAGATTTGGTACATTGATAGATCTTTACAACCCTTGAGGTGGATTCCTGTACATGGTGAGGGGACCTCCCATGGAAGGTTCTGTATCTTCAGTTTACCTCCTCTGGGATCTGAACATCCACCTATGTGTTTGCTTTGTGTGGCATCCTGTGAAGGGGAGGAGAGGATCATGGTGGTTGAGGGGTGTCATTGATGGGTCAGTTTATATCAGTGGCACTTTGACAAACCACCTTGGCTTTGAATTCCTGTAGACAGGTGGGCTTGGAGTGGCTCCTCCAGGGTCAGTTGGCTGGTATTGTTGGGCTAGGGTCAACTTATTACCAGTGTTAGACGTTCTCAACAGGTGCTGACGCTGGTGTTTTGGTATAGTGCCCTCAAAACCCTGGTGTCTCTACAGTGCTCTACTTTAGCTTTGTAGTGTGTCCCCTTGTAGGACTCCATGGTGGATGGGGGTCAGTTGGCACTGAAGGTTCTCTATTTTGTATGGATCCTGCACCCAGTGACCTAAAAAAAACTCATTGATAGGAAAGCGACCATGTTTGGAAGTCTCTGAACAGCAGTCACCACCCTAATATTCACCTGTACCTCATTTTCTCATCCTGTATTTCTTATCTAACAAACTTTTAGGGCAAATGTCTCCCTTTTTTTTTATTCAGAAGGGATTAGAGGGGTTTGCTGGCTCTCTGAGGTCAGTTAAGAAGCTATATTCTGGGGACGTCTTGGTGGAAACAACTACATTAAAACACAGCAAACTTCTCCTGAAATCAAAGACCATTGAGGATATACCTATTGAGCTTAGTCCCCATGAATTTCTCATGAGGAGTTATTGTTGAGAGGGATTTAAGAAACATCCCCAAGTTAGAGATCCTCGCTGGTTTCTCCAGTGAAGGAGTCTCTGCTGTGCAATGTATCTCCACTCGTAAAGATGGAATTATGCTGCCCACTATTGTTCTTGTATTGTTGTTTACATCGCCATGTCTGCCTACCACTGTCAAGGCAGATTATCTTAAATGTAAGGTACAACATTATATTCCTGGTTCTTTGACGTATGCTCGTCATGGAGGCAAAGACCATAATGCCTGCAAGTATCAACTGGACCATCACTGTGTCAGTCACTGGTGTCTTCTTCTTCTGACAGAGATTTGCCTAATCGACCCAGGGCAGGTTCCATGGAGATCGACAGACCTCTTTCTACTAAAGAAAAACATTGTGGTCACAAACAGAAGGGTTCTTCTCCACCTCAATGAAAATGGCCACTTTGATACAGTATAACTGTCAGTGTTTTCATTCTAATTTGAATGACATTCAGGCTTTGATTGATTCCTATCATCCTATGTGTGTCTCCTTGTAAGAGACATTCCTTTGGCCTGCTAATACAGACACTTTTCTGCACTTTTCCTTGCATAGGAATGACAGTTTGTATGATGGTTAAGTTCATGGAGGTGTGGCACTGCTGATTGACCAGCATATACCCACCTTGTTTGTGCCACTTTATATGTCCCTGGAGGCTGGGACCATTTGTATCTCTGTGGATCTAACCATCACTGTTTGTTCTCTTTACCTGTTTTCAGGAGATACTTATGATCAATCAGACCTTGATGCTCTCGTAGAACAGTTGCCATATCCCTTTTTCATTGAGCCCATCCCATCAGCATCACCCCAGAGAGGATTGTGTCCATTAAAGTCTCCCAGTTCTGTGGAGCGTATGCTCTCAGATCACACCCTTTCTCTCTTCATTACTGGTTCTTTTACCTATTTTTATACACTTAGTCAGTCTTTTACTGCTATTGATCTATTTATCTGTTCCTCTTCACTTTTTTTCTCATTTTTCTTGGAGGGTTGACAGTGGCCACGGGACTGATAATTTCCCCATCATTTTGAGGGAGATTGGCTGTGGTCAATGCCACAGAAACTGAGTGCCATGTTGGAGCATGCTGACTGGATCTCCTTCACTGCTCTCTCGAACTTGATTCTCCTGTCATTAGTCTTCCATTTTCAATGACTGCGTGGAAGCAGTAACTGATCATATATTTCAAGTAGCTGATCATTCTATCTGTCTCTGTAAGGTTTTGGGAAGGATCCTAAGATTCCTTCTAATAATTGTCTAATTGCTTTGACTAGCTGTCTCTGTAATATTTTGGGAAGGATTCAGTATTAAGATTAATGCTATCACTCACCAACTTCCTCCTACTGCTGCAAATGGCCTCTATATTGACAACTTCCACATTTCTTGTCAGTTGTCGAACATGAGGTTTATAGAGCAGCAGCTTCAGACTGTCCTCACTCACTTATTGAAGTGGACCACAGCAAATGGTTTTACCTTCTCTTCCTCTAAAACCGTTCACATTCATTTTTGTTACCAGTGGCATTTACACCCTGATCCTGAGCTCTGTCTCGGTGGTGGTGTTCTTCCTGTGGTTCCTGAGGCAAAGTTCTTGGGGCTTATCTTTGATCATAAGCTTACTTTCATTACTCACATCAAGAAGCTTTGTGTCAAGTGTACAAGGGCACTGAATATCCTCCGTGTCCTCTCTTCCACCTCTTGGCGAGCGGATCAATGTTTTATGTTGAATGTCTGTTGTGCCTTCATATGTTCTAAGCTGGACTATGAGTCTCTGGTCTATAGTTCTGTCAGGCCCTCTGCCTTGAAGATGTTGGACCCTGTACACCATCTTTGATTCAGCTCTGCATGGGGCTTTCTTCACTTAGCTGGTCCAGAGTCTGTAGACTGAGTCCCATGAACCTCCTCTTCACCTCCACCATTTGCAACTTTCTTTGCAATATGCTACCAAGCTTCAATCCTTCCCACAGCATCCCACTTGGGGTTGTGTCTTTCTTCTCCTTCCTCTGTGGGCTGTGCTCTTTCAGAATAGATGGTCTGCCATTCCTCTTTTTGGTCTTCGTATCCAAGCACTGCTGGCTGAATTGGGTCAATCATTGGATGATGTTGCTGAATCCAATGATCAGTCCATCCCACTATGGCTCATTACCATCCCCATCTGTGACCCTTCTTTAAGTTAGCTGAGGAAGGTGGATACTCCTGATGGGAAGTACTGTCTTCTGTTTGCCAAACATTTTTCAAACCATTTTTCTGTTCTCATTTTTACAGATGGTTTGAAATCAGGTGACTCTATGGGTTCTGCCATTGTTTGTTGTGGCTTAGTGGTTGCTCACAGGATCCCCTCTACAGTTTCTGTGTTCACTGCCGAGTTGTATGCCATTTCTTTTGCCTTGGATCACGTAAAAGCTAAGCAGTACACTAACTGTACTATTTACACTGACTCTCTTAGATCTCTACTGGCCATGGAATCGCTTAATGGAAGTACTCACCTTGTTCTTGTCGATATTGAGAAATGACTGGCCCACTTTTCACTGTCTTCTATTTCTATCCAGTTTTTCTGGATACCTGGCCATGTTGGTATTTGCAGGAATGAGCTTGCTGACACTGAAGCTAAGTCCATCTGCTCTGGTGTTTTCACATCTGTGACTGTCCCATATATGGACTATGGTTCTATGATCAGGGTGTGGCTTTATGCCAGGTGGTAGTTGATTTGGGTTGAGCAAATTCATAACAAGCTTTTCCAGAACAAACATACTGTTGTTGTTTGGCTGTCTAGTTTCCAAAAGGATCAACGGGCTATGCATTGGTGACAGTATTCTAACCCATCGTTTTCTTTTATATGGCAATAATCCACCAATGTGTGGCCTTTGTGACAGTCAAGTCTCAATTGCCCACATTTTACTTTCGTGCCGTCGTTACAATTGTGAGTAGCAGCACCATTTTAGACGTATTTTCTAAGGGATTACTCCTGACATTGGATGGTGTCATTGGTGATGGTGACGCTGTCCAACTTGATTGTGTCTTTTTGCGAGGCATTGCCTTTTTACTTCTATTTAGATTTTTACCTAATTTTTGAGCATTGTTTCATTTTTAACTTGTCTTTTTACTTTTCGTTTTATTTTACATCGGTGGTTTTGTGCCAACAGCCACATTGCTTTGCACCAAAATCCCCAAAAAACAACCAACCAGATCTTTACAGCCCATAATTACATGTCACATTTGGTCCACACATACATAAATTAAGCATGCAACTTAAAGGAATGAAATCAAAATTGGTGGCCAAACTGGTAGTTACACTTACAGCATTGGTAGTAGTTGTATATACTTCAATGATTTTTATGCTCTAAAGAAGATGAATAGTAAATAGAACTATGATCTCCAAGAATATGTTAGGTTTAATGAGTTGAAATAATTTTAAGAATATTACAAAGTAAATAAGTAAATTTTTAGGTATAATTAAGTACGAGTTAACTGTATAACAGACTTTTGACACTCTAAAGCATACAGAATGTCACTTAATCTTTGTAAAGCTATAAAATGCTAACTATTAAATCCTTATTTCCTGTACTCTGTCTTGTGACTTGCTAAATTGCTGTAAATTCATCTTTGATTTATTTTATATTTAAAGATGTATTTTGATTGATTTGTCTTCGAAACTTAGCCAGTCTGTTCATGATCAGTTGATATTACTCTTCCAAACTTAATCAGTCTGTTCATGGTCAGTTGATATTACTCTTCCAAACTTAATCAGTCTGTTCATGGTCAGTTGATATTACTCTTCCAAACTTAAGTTTGGAAGAGTAATATCAACTGATCATGAACAGACTGATTAGTCAGTCTGTTCATGATCAGTTGATATTACTCTTCCAAACTTAGTAAACTTATTCATAACTAGTAGAATACAAAGCATATTTGTTTCCTTTAGGTGGTAATGCAACCTGCAAAGAATGCCTAATAGAATGCTTATCCATATATTGTAATTTTATTGATGTTTAAACATTGCAATACTGTAATATTTATCTACTGTTATTATCTTGAAAGTTAAATCAATGAAGTAATAATAAGTTTATGAAGTTTTAAAAATCTTAAATAATTCATTATAAATTTGCATTTTTATCTAAGTTACAGTGTTTTCCAAACATTATTTCTAGCCAATCAAAGAAAGTACCAAGACAGTAGACAACATGGAGAGCACTCTGAATGTTGTAATTCAGATAACTGGTGTGTTTTATCCTGAGCAGCAGGTGAGATATTTTTCCACCTTCAGTTGAATTGTAGAGAAGATCAGATAGCTGGTCCATGTTTAATGAAAGTTGGGTAGATTAATGTGTAGAGAAGATCAGATAGCTGGTCCATGTTTAATGAAAGTTGGGTAGATTCGTGTGTAGAGAAGATCAGATAGCTGGTCCATGTTTAATGAAAGTTGGGTAGATTCGTGTGTAGAGAAGATCAGATAGCTGGTCCATGTTTAATGAAAGTTGGGTAGATTCGTGTGTAGAGAAGATCAGATAGCTGGTCCATGTTTAATGAAAGTTGGGTAGATTAATGTGTAGAGAAGATCAGATAGCTGGTGTAAAGTGTGGTTATCACATCACAGTGTTACCTTAGTTTAGCATGTTTAATAAACTAAGGTAACACTGTGATGTGATAACTACACTTTAATCTAAACTAAGGTAACACTGTGACACTGTGATGTGATAACCACACTTTAATATTAAACATGAAACTAAGGTAATACTGTGATGTGATAACTACACTTTAATATTAAACATGCTAAACTAAGGTAAAGCATGTTTAAT